TGAGGGCAGAGTTGGAGTTGGCCTTGGCACCCTCACTGTTTGCATTGTGTGGAGTCGGCATCGCTGGAGATGGCCCTCCTCATGCTCAAGGTGACTTCGCAAAGCTGATGTCTCTTTGAGCTGCAGCCACTTTTCACGGTTTTGGAAGGCTAAATGAAAATGCCCCTCGATGCAGTGAAGTGTTGATTTGAATTTTCATTAAACTGCAGCTCTGCATATTTTACCTGTCACTGATTCATTTAGCTAGCTGAGACATCACAGTATTGCACTCAAATTATTGTGAAAATATTTGCATTCTAATGCTATGAGGACTTGTGTCCTTACATAGGATATAATGTAGCTATGTGCTTTGTAAACAACAAAACAGCAGATGCATTACCAGAAAATGAAGCATATTCCCATTTTATATTGCAGACGGTAAAATATTTCTGAGATGCAGACAGCTAGACCGGTGGGGGTGGGGGTTTGGTAGCAAATCTTTCCCCTTGCTGTGTAAAGAAACAGTTGTTAAGGCTTCTAAAAATGTGGAGCCAAAAGGAGGGGGAAGAATCCAGTAAAAATACATTTCTTTTGGGAGGCTTCTTAATTTTGTTTCTGTGCATGCTATCAGGGACATGTATTTCTTGGGCTAAGCTTTAGCTTGTGCTTGCATCAAGAACCTGACTGAAGGCTCCCTCGAAGTGGGAGGAAGCCATTAAATGGATTGAACAGGCTCTAAATCAGACTCAAAGACTTCTTCCCTTCTATCTGCTCTCCTTTATTCTGTCTTGCTAAGTCATTTCTTCCTGCCAATAGACAAAACTCTCCCTCATTACAGCAGGCCATGCAATATGTGGCAACACCAGGCATGGAGATGCGAGGAGGCAGGTGTGAAGTTCTCCCCAAAATGTTAAGCTATGGAGCATACAATGGCATGCAGCAACACAAATACCTTCCTGTCACCTCTGACATGCTCCTCACTTCACCCCATAACCTAAGGTCAGAAGAACTGTCAATGGCACAGCTCATGTGAGCACGACCTCTGGACATGTACAGGATCAGGCCTCCCCCCCCCATGCTTTAGATATACCGACATTATTAAAAGTACTTTTTTAAAATGCATAGCTTATTTCTAGACTGTTGCTGTTTGCTTTCTTATTTATAGATATTCTTCCCTATTTGCTTGAGAGTGTTTCCCCATTTAGAAGTTAAAAAAATGTGAAAAATATATTGAAGGTTTGGGAAAAATTGGATTCGATTTTCCTTTTCCAAAATGGAGGGGGTAGAGAGCAGGAGGAGATCTGTGCATGGAGTACCTTGAATCAAGTCCTCTTGTGAGAGGCTTCCCCCTCTCCTATATGGGACAAAACTGCCATTTTAGGTCTAAATTTCCCATGTTTTGAAGAGTTACATGGCCCTTTAGCTAGGACTATTCTAAAACCTAAATATATCACCTTATCCCATTCATACTTGGCCAGAGCGAAATGCTTCCTCAGGGTGATGGGAGACATGCTGTTGTGTTTTTTACAGTAAAGACTGTTTGAAGTAAAGGCCTCCATGGGAACAAGTTTCCATTCTTTCAGATGTCTCTGAAAGTATATCTGACTTATAATGTATTTTATAGCTTAGAAGGGCAGAAGAAAATTTAGGGAACTGCAAGAATTTTTTTGTCTTTTTTAGAATAAGTGTCTTTTGGGGCTACCAGTCTTGAGAAAAATCTTAAAAATCCACTAAACATTTGCTGCTGCTTTGCCTGTACTGGCTTCTCATTCTCTCTGACACTGTCCTTCCTTCATAGAGCCATTCTGCTGTTCCTGATAGTCATGGAAACTTGGGAAGGGAACCAAACCCATGTGAAAAATCTTGTCCAGAAGGAATGTATTTGTTGCTAAATTTTCTAGCACTGTTTACAGTTTTCCTCCATGTTATTTATAAATTTTATATTCAGTGAATGTATGTTGTCTTTTAAGGTAATGTTGCATAATGTTCACTTTTTATAGTGTCCTTTTATTCTAAACAGTAAAGTGGTTTTATTTCTATCACAGACATTCTGTCTCTGCTTCACTTATATTAGTTTCTGTCCACTTCAAATGTACACAAATGGATTTGCAAGTGGATTTATTCACTTCCTTCCCTTTCTTGATACTGTTTTATTGGGCCCAAAGCAGATACTCCACCTCTGGCAATTCTTCCTCTTTGGCAAAGATCCCTCCAGCAGTCCCTCCCTCTTTTCAAGAGGTTGATCTCTCTAAGAATTGTTATTGGGGCGGTAAGCCCAGGAGAGGCAAAAAATCCCCTTTGAAGTTAAAGTATCCCACTTGTTAACTGGCCATAGGGGGTCACTACAGAGCAAGGCAGTCGTTATGGCTGTCATATAGCACCAGTAGAGCCTTAGAAGAACAGTTGCCAGATTGCTCTTATTTCCAGTAAACTGATCACTGGGGGGAGGGTAGAAAGGTACATGCCCGCGGCAAAAGGAAGGGAGATTCATCTTTTGGATCTTTCCTGCTGTGAAATGTCGGAGCCTTGTGTCCTCTGTTTATGTTTACTGTTTAAGGCTGGTTAAAAATGCCCTGTTGTCGTAAGAAGGAAGCTTCAGAGAAGGAGTTCTGAACTAAATTAAAATGCTCACAAAAATGGGCCTACTGTTAGAAATTTACTTTATCTCACTTTTACATTAGGCAAATCTCCTCTACATGGATGAAAGAATGAAACAGATTTTTAAATCTGTTCTATGTTTAATCCAAAGGTTTAGAAAGTAAGCTTTGGAAAGTTTTGGACATAGAAGGATGAGGATCTCTTATGTGAGAACTTCATTGCTCAAAGTGTATCACATTGCAAAGAGGTAAAACCATAACACTAGTTATAAACACTTCCAGGGGGGCAGCCATCAAAGGACCACAGCATATTTTACAAGTGCTAACTGGTACAGCTTGAAAATGCCTCCAGGAAAGGGAAGAAAAGAGTGGGGAAGGGGGATCGTTATATTCCTATCTGACACATGGAGAAGCTGGTGCACAGTGGGCAAGCAACTTTCACAGGTACTTGGTGGAGTGATGACTGCAACGGAGCTTGCTTGGCCTAAGCACTTGCCCTCTCAGCCTCTCGCAGCCCAGGATACTGTGAAAATGCATCTAGAAAAGATCTTGAGAAGTTAACGTAGATTCATTCCGTGAGGCAGACCCCCCACCTGGAAAGGTCTGGCCTGAATTTGCCCAAGTGGTTTGTTGCTTGTGTAAATGTTTGGAAAGTGACTGATTTAAACCAGATTACTCAAGCTTGCTTATCAACACTAGTGTTTGTGTTCACATGAGATTATCTACAGTTTAAAGAGGTTCCTGTATTATTTTGGAAGTAAGCAATAGCATCTGCAAATAAGCGATAGCATCTCCAAGTAGGTGATCAGTTACAAAGATGACAAATACGTGAAATTAAATCAGTGCTCTGCTAAACGGAACTACTGTGCTGGTAATATGCATTTACATGCTGAGGAATCAAGAATCAGATTTCCAGACAAGAAAATAATGCTAAAAGTGTTAGCTAGCATATTTGCAATGAATTCCAAAAATACCATTCCTGAAGTGATGGTCACCAAAGTCACACTGTCCTGAAGCATTACATATGTCACAAAACCTTCTTTATAAATCAGCGGGAATTAAATGCAACAGAATCTATTAACTAATTTGCCTTAAAAGTCTGCAACAAACTGTCACATGGTGTTTAAGGACCATCCATTTCTTTATGTCTTAAATGATAATATAACTCTTACCACTGCATTACTTGAGTGCTTCACAGCACTCATGACCGTACTTACCTCCATGATGTGGCTGTGAAGTATGGAAGCGCTGTTGTCCACACAGCACAGGTAGAGAACAGAGTATTGGAACAGAGAGATGAAGGACGGGCATTTCAAGGTATTCAGGTACCTAGCGAGCACCGGTGGGATTTTTCACAAGAAAAATCTAAATGAGGCTTCCTTTTGAATTTTGAAGATCCCACTAGGTGCCTATATCCACCATCAGGTACCTACACCCTATTATGCATTGTGGTTGGCCCACAGTGTTGCAACAAATGTGTGAGAAAAGAGGGGTTTGAATGTTTTTGAGCCCTAGTTTGACATCTCAACAACCCTAATCTTCAGGCTGCCAATGCTGCTTGAGTTCACAATCAAGTGTGGGAAACAAGCTCAGACAGCCAATGGCTCACACGGGGGGTCATGGTTCACGCGGGGTCACATCGAAGCCTCAGCCAGGTAAGAAGAGCCACTAATTCATGGATGGAAGTTGGGAGCAAAAATTCATGAAGGACTACCCACCCTTTTAACCCAGGGAAAACAAGAGACGAACAGTTTTAAACAAAGCCACTCACTTTGCCGTGTTCTCCAGGACTAAAGGCACCTACGCAGATCTCTTTGGAAGGTGCCTTAAGAGTTTGGTACAGTGCCCAGTAGCCACACAGGGCACTGAGTGTTTAGTTGTTGACAGGAAGACTAGACCCCAGAGCCACTGTGCAAAGGAAACATTACAAGCTGAAATAACCTCTTTTTCAAGAACTCCAATTTGCTTTGAGTACCTAGTCAGGCTGATAAATGTTTCACGGATGGCAGACCAAGCAAACTGTCACTGTGGAACAAACATCTCTTATGGCCCATGTCCCAAATTGTCAACATATTTTCAACAATTCCAGGAGGCGAAAAAATCCACTTTATCTGAATAAAGTGATTCCTTACTCTAAGGGATGAGCTTTTGTTGATTAGATTTTACAATGGATTTTTGTTTTGGTGTTGAGCCTGTTCTAATTTTTCACTTCTTCAGGGTCCTTACGTGACCTGGGGGAGGGCTGGGCAAGAAGAGAAAGAGTTTCCCGAGCACTGCTTTTTGCATATTGCTTTTAGCTAGTAATTCTCTGGAAGTAAAACTGAGACTCTTCCCAGCATTCCCACTGCCATCTCTTGTGCCCAACTCACATTCGTTGCTTCTCCCCCATCCACCCTGTAGTTAGAAGAAAGCAAAGGTACTCACCATCTGCTTATGGCTTGGGAAGAACGTTTGCTCCACGAGGGGGAACTTCTCAGGACCCAACGAGTTGAAGATTTTAATGAGCTGAGAGAACTTGGGGTGAGGGGGGGGGAACAGAAAAACAGACACAGTGGATGTCAGTGGTGTAATGTGTAGCAGGTAAGTGCTTGCAAAATGTTCTGATACTGGTGAAGGAGGTGAGAGAAACATGTTGATATGCCTTTCCCACCTTGCTTTCTTGACCTGAGAGCAGCAAGAAAATATGAAGTTGCTGTATTTACCCAGGGCCAAGCCAGCCTGTACACAAACCTTGGACTAAGAGAGCAGAGAAGGGTTTCAAGAGCCAGAAGGGGATCAGTTTGGGTTTAGTTACAGATCTGCTATGAACAAGCTTTGTGGCTGGCTGGGGAGGGGGTGGGTGGGTGCTCTTCTTGGTAGAGGAGAGGGCTCAGAGGAGTGACCAGGCAGGAAATCAGTGCCACCACTCCTGAGCAGAGACAAAATAAATCAAAGATCTCCCTTGGATCTCTGCCCCACAGCCAAATCAAAGCAAGGTATATTTACTCATCGTGCTGAAGAGAAGGAGTATTGCTAAGGGACAGAGATGGCTAGAGGGAATTGCCCGTGCTACCTGGTTTGAGTGTTAGATGAAGGAAGCATAGACCCACCGGCAATCATAACTGACATCTATTATGAACCAAGGGTCTCCCGACAGCCCCCCATGCATGGCAGCAGAAAGGGGAGATCATCTGCTACCCCTGTTCCCTCTACCGGTGAGGTCTGAGGGAAGCACCAATCTGTGAGGATGGTGTCTAGAGAAAGCAGTATGTAATGTCAACGGGGAATGCAACAGTGCTGGTATTTCACGTACAAGGGTGAACATTTGCCATCATCCCAGCCTGTCAGCATGAACTTCACCATTATCACCACTCTCATCACTATTATAAACTGTTTATCATTCGGGGTTGTGCCCAGCCAGACACAAAGCTCCCCATGGTAGGACTGAGTTTTGATTTCTGTTCAAATTCCTGCTCCGCTTCGGCCATCTGTGAAGCAAGCAGACACAGACTGTACATTGTCTGCAGCCTCCCTATTCAATCTGTCATTGATCAGCTGGAAAAAAACCCCAAAACTATAAGAGAGAAACTTAATAACCATGACGGAAAATGTTGCCGGGGCAGGGTTGGTATACCAAAGAGAGTAAGAGGTGATATATATATATATGCCAGAAACTTTCTAGATCTCGGGAGCAACTTAGATTCTTTACAATCACACCTCTAGCCATTCTGCTTTATCTCTGAAGAGGTACAGCCCTGTTACCATGGAAAATGCTGAACTGGCAGCGCTGTTGGTGAAGTGGTTAGACTGGCAGCCTTGCAGAAGGGGGAGTTAAGCTGGATAAGGTAGCTAGATTATTTTCATGGACTTTAAGAGAATAAAACAATTGGGGATTGCTCCGCAGATAAGAATCTTGTTTGCTGCTGAGCTGGTAGATGTGACTGAATTCCCCATTGATGTCCTATTTCCAAAGTAATTTAGAAACTGAATCTAGTTTCCAAGCCCCCTGGAATTTGGTAAAATCAAGTTAAATTAACAAAGGCCTCCATTCTGAGCCAAGTCTCACTGTAAGTCCTTTACAAAAGTTCCTTCAAGTTCCCCATCAAAGCTAGGGATGCATTCATCTTGAAGATCTTTGTGTCACCTGTGTGACAGGTGGTAACACACAGGGAGGTAACACACAGATTAAGGGAAGGAGACAGACATCTAGGGAACAAGGGAAGAGAAAGAAAGCCCTCTTTCTTCCCAATAGCATCAACTGCCTAATCTTACATGTTCTGAGCACTCCTGAGCAACGGCTGAAGCCAGTAAATGTACCAAATCGTAACCCCAAAGTTCCACTGCAGATAAAGAGAGCGCTACTGAGAATGTTTTCTGCTGAGTAGCTACGTTAGGGCTCCTGTCCTGGTTACTGGGTTAGTCTAAGCAAAAGCATTTCTGTATAAGAAGCTGAAACTTCACTTGGTGGTGGAGAAGAAATACCCCTTTGGGAGTTAAAGGGTGGTATGGGTGTAAAAAAATGCAGCCAGTGTGTAAAAAAATTAGGCTGCAAGGTGTGTGCCAGTCCCAGGCCACATGCTGAAGGAGCAGCTGCCAGCAGATTTGCAGATAAATGCAAAGAATTCTTTTGGCGTTTAAGCAAACCCAGAAAACATCAAGAGGCGGTATATCCCATCACTAACACCACCACGCCCTCACATGCATCAGCAGATAAGAGAAAAACTCCCCGTGTAGAATAATTATCATTGGCAAGGAGAGTATTGATGTTGGGGAAGGAGGACAGCTTGCTTCTCTTAACTACTTGCACTAGCCCTGCACATCCTAGAGAAGAAAAATAAAGCCCTGTTTTGACTAGCAAAGTGAGCAAACAGGGCTTAAAAGTTAAACAGAATGAGACAGAGACAGGGAGAGGAGGAAAAACACGCTGGCTGAGAGCAGCACATGCCCCTCACTGTGCGCAGCCCTGGCGAAACATGGACGCTGTGACATTGAGGCGACATACGTTTATCCTAGGAAAACAGCTCAAACAAAATAACTGGAACAACTGTGCAGCTGACAGACAGCGTCCTGACTTGTTCCTTGGGCTTCCTTTTGAAGCATACAGCTCTTGGCTGTTGCTGAAATAACAAGCGTTTCAGATGGACAGATGAGAGACTCAGCCATCTGGGAGCCTCCTCAATGGGCCAAGCCTGCAAAAAGGTCTGACTTTGGTATTGACCCTTATGGGACAACTACCTCCTTTTTTCCCTTTTTTTGGCAATTGTTAAGGACAGGATATTGGCAAAGAGACACCCATGTTCAATGGTCCAGCAGCCTCTTAGATACCTGATAGCAGAACTCAAGTAGCACCCCCCAGTGCATTTTAGATGGGTAGAAGGAATGTTACTGTCAGCAGCTCAGCTAGATGTAACTGCCCCTTCCACATTTTGGTATCAGTTCTTACTTTCTGTGGTTCCACTGGTTTTAGTGAGATTGCATCCAGACCAGAAAGCAAGACACAGGGCAAGGCAATGTGGCACAGTCTGGGTTTTAAGTGAGATGCCTTGCCTGGCTGGTTGGACATCAGAGTTACTGGCAGGGAGTCTTCACAGAGGAATAAAAAGATCCATTCAGAGGATCTCAAGCCCTTTTGCATATTTTTGAAGTGTCTAGGTCATCAGGGAGCCTATATCCCTTGACAGTCAATAACAGTTTGGCTGGGAGTCTCTTGGTCACTGCAGATGACTGTCTTCAAGACTTTGTATTTCCTGCAGTCTTACAGATGCAAAAGTTGCCTTACAATTATGGGCATTACTGCATGTAATATGAGTACTACTCTGAGCATTGTTCCCACTGTACTTCATATTGTAACTTTTATAACACAAAAATTATTATTAATGGTTGAAGCATTGTGTTTACGGTGCTTGTAGCATTATTTCTCAATAATTCTGGGATAATCTTAAAACTTAGGTTTCTTAGATGTTTCTGTGTGACATCCCCCTAAATATGTCTGTTTCTATTTTAGAAACACCTATTTCAAACTGTGCCTGTGTTTAATGCAAATTTTAACCTTTGAAGAAATTTGTGTATTGCAGTACTAGAAACCTGGCAAATGTCATTAAAAAAATGGGGCTGCATGTTTGAGTAAACCCAAGCCCAAACTCAGCTGATTGTAATTAGAGTTGCTGAGAAAAAAACATCGTTGCAAATTGCCAAGGAAAAACAGTCTCACTTCCATCCCCCTCCACAAAATCATAAACATTTCTATGAAATGGAGCCATTTTTGGAAAAAATAAAAAGGGAGAGTGAAAAGCATATTTCCCAGGGGTATTTAATTTTATTTCTTCATGTATCTCAACTGTTTTCTAGGTCCAAAAAGTTTCCAGTAATCTTTGTTAAGCAGATCCCTTATTTCAAGATGCCTGTTTTGCAATCAGAGTGGAACATGCACCGAAGTGGTCTGTCCCTATCTCTCATTTCCCAGCCATCACAAAATCAAATTTTTCTGATTCCACTGCCAGTGAAGCTTTCTGCCCTCAAATGCCCCACTGCAATCTCTACCTGAGCTTCAACCTGATAAAATTTCAGTGGTGCCAAATACCAGCTCAGATCCCATCTAAGCTCTTAGATTACTTCATGCATTACAATCATTGGTTTGGGGGGTCATGTGTGTGTGGGGGAAGTGGGGAAAGGAGAAAACTGCAAACCTGTTTCAAGTGTTTACAAGTGGTTTCCTTGACTCCTCTGGGAAGGTTGTCTGAGCCAGCTGTATTCCCTGTGAGGAAAGCATGGCACAACCGGACCCAGAATAGCTAGAGCCAAGTTACTGGCAGAGCCAATTTCTCCCACACTGCCTTGCCAACCCTGCTTTTTCTTTTTCTTTTTTTTTTGCAATGTGCTGAATTTGTTTGTTTTCTTTCATTTTAGATTCCTAAAAATAATAGGAAAAATAGGCCTGTCACATCTTCAGGCCCCTGAACACCATCAGAAATGTAATTACAAGGCATGAGTTGAAAAATGTCAGCTAAACCCTGACTGACTCAGCCCCAGAATCAGATGGAATAGACCACATGACTCTCTTCCTCCGCAAAAGCCAGTGTAAATGCGGAGGCTTTTTGTCTAGTCAGCAGGGTCAATATGCTTGTGTGTGTAGGACCAACTGCAGGAAACAATGCAAAGGTGTTGTACTGAGCCTGGTATTGATCCCTCTCTTCCCCCCCTTTCCGTTCCCAGCAACCCTTGTCATTCAAATGCGGACTGAGGCCAAATGTGCATCATCTACCTATACAGTGATGGAAAAGTGAGATTTTTCTCACTACTCTCATTACTGCACTGCAACATTTTTGGAAAAGACAAGACTTGGCTTTTGGTCTCAACAAAACCCCCAAATGTCACAAAGGGGGTGGAAACTTAGAAGACTATGTTTATTACACTGGTACCTTTTTGGTAAGAAATGAGTTAAATCCAACACTGCACCATCATGGAAATAAAAGTCTGAGTCATTACAGACCTCAGCTGGATTTGAACTACCAGTCAACACACTGAAGTCTAATAGGATATTTATTCCAAGGAAAAAACAACAACAAAAAAAGGCTTAATTAGGTAATGGGGAAGATAGTTACCACTTGCTATAAACATTCCATCTCACCCCAGGCTAAATTTGTGCAATGAGTAAGGGGAATTCCTAAAAAAGTATCTAAAAGTTTTCCATGGGGGGCATATTGGAAAGTCCCATCTCCTTGTCACATCCATATAGCTCGTAGTTTCTGTGCTTCGGACCTAGAACATTGCAGGGAAATTTCCATTCTGGGGGCATCAGTGATCATAGAGGGCACTTTGGGATGAAATTGCTTGGAAGACCCACATGTGGACTCCAAAATGGTATCAGCATCTGACTTCTTCCAGCAGCTGCTACGATGGCCAGCCTTGCTTCTGTGGCTCA